AGTACCGTTTTTTTTTTTACCTCCGTTTTTTTTTTTTTTTTAGGCGGTAACCATAGTGGTGGTCGAGTAGATCATGTTGTGCGGGGTCGAGAACCCTCACTCCGCGCAAGGGGGATGATCGCACCACGTTGTGTTAAAATGGTCAAGCACCCTCGAGGCAGTTACACAGTGCTTACAACTGTCTCTGGAAGTGAAAGCACCAGAAAGTAAATTAAGTCATACGCAGCTGTCATCCGTACGCAAGGAAGTAAGCACAAGATGCCGAAAACCCTTAGCAGGATGCAGCGCACCCTTCATGCGACTCGCCGAATATCTCACGGCGCTTCGCGCTTGGTGATGTGAGAGCCTGGTCCGGTGAGAACCCGGCGTGCACCGTCCCGGCTTTGTAGGAATGCGAGGTCAATGGTCTAACGACTACGGCATGCACGACTATGAGTACACCCCCCCCCGACGACTACTGCTGTAGCTATGTTCTCCAACGTGTATCGCAGCCTTTCCGTGATTGTATGCATACATATGTTCGGACGGACACGTATGCATAGTTATGCGGAGGCACGCAAACTTACTTGAAGTCAAGAGGCAACATCAGTTTTCGCCGACATGTGCAGATGTAGTCTAAGCGTGTATTACAGCTTGCGATACCCTTCGCAAGGTGGGGCGGAGTGGCTCGGGTAAGCAAGCCTCGAAGGAGGGACATGTCTGCGTGTGTGATGTGGTTACCGATAGTTTCGCGAGCGGGCGCTGCAGGGTCTGCATTTCGCAAGACTTGACGCCGCGGGAAGAACGCAAACATTCCGCTCGGGCATCTAGTCTAGTCGTAATTCCGTAGTTCCCAAAATGTCGCCGCTTATTCTTCTTCTGCTGAACAGCGGCCACGGTTTTATTGATCGGTGGGGTAACCCTGAGGTACACATGGCACATGGGATGATGGGCTGCTGCCGTAGTAGTTTCGTCGTGTGAACGGCGTACCAGATACTTGGGTGTAGATGTGTCGTTTGTTTGGGAGGCCACTTCGCAGATGATTGTTTGTTGCGGTGTTGTGTATGGTATGTTATTTTTTGTCTACCGCGGTACGATAACATCGACCGCGCTAACCGGCTGACCAACATACGGACGTCGCTCTCAGTGCCGCTGAAAACAGAAAGGCCATGATCTGGGACTCAGTGAGGGGGCGTCACGGGGGATGCTAGGCTACCCTCCGGATTGAAGATGGAAACGGCGGTAGCAGCAGGAGAGAACTGCACGCGTCTAATGTAGAACCAAGGCCGCTTCTTTGCACCGCCCGTGTCTATTGTAGAACCAAGGCTGCCGGTGTGCTCGTTCTATGCAGAAATGCATCGAGGACCCCTTTTCTAAACGAAGCCCTCCGACAGCGGTAAAATTTAAGCAGAGCCCATGGTAGATGGGCTTCTAGATCCCGAACCTCGCCGTACTCCTGTTGGAATCTCCGACACACAGCTTCGGCGGGTAGCGGCGCGTTTGACGCAGCAGCAGCAGCAGCAGCAGTCGTGGTCATCCCTCCCGCGAGAAGTAGATGAACAAGCACTGCTGTAAACTGCGCACATTGCACTCAAAGTAAGACAGGAAAACGTTTTCGGCTGTCTTCGCCGACCCGATTGTGCCAATCTTCCGACCACGACACCCCTGTCGCGAGCTCGAGACTCAAAAGGGCGAGCCGAGTTACAAGTTCGCCCAAGTCTACGTACGGCACTGCTGCCACGTCGACAAAATCGCGCCCCTCATTCGAGAATTCTTTGTTGGGGGACGTCAAGATGTCAACCATATTTAGTTTGTTTGTAGGAGAAACGAAGGTCAAGTTGTCAACCATTTTTGTTTGTTGGAGGACGTAAAATTGTCAACCACACCAACTTGCCTGTTGGAGAACGTCAACTGTTCACCATGCACTCCTTTCACCGCCAGCAGATTCTTGTGGCAGATCATGTATGCACACGACATGTTTGAAACTGCAAGACGCAACCATGGTCTCCCTGGACTATATGCGAAGTGCCTCTCATGTGATGACTAGGTACCGTATCAGACCCAAGATAACACGCCCACTGGACGGATTTTCAAAGCTCGATTTATCAACATCTGAAACAGCCGCAGCTCCGAAAACGGCGGCGTCAAAGCCGTCTGGTCGAGAGCTCTCCTTAAGCGTATCGTTTCGTTAATGCATCCTCTTCATCGTAGGAGTAATCGAGCTTTGAACGTCGCCTCAAGGGGGGGGGGGGGGGGG